GCCCCTTTAGGCTCCTCGGACCATTGTCTTGTCCGGAGTGTGGTGCCACTCACGCTGAAATCGCGGTTGCATTCTGCAGGCTGCCGCCGTGTTTGGCACTATAGGTCAGCCGATTGGGATGGGATGCGGTCTTTCTTTGCATCCTACCCTTGGGGGCGGGTTTGCTTCTCGCCGGACGATCCCAACGTTGTTGCGGATTCTGTCGCTGATGTGGTACTTCAGGGTATGGAACTTTTTATTCCTTCCTCTGTGGTGCCCATTGGAGGCAAATCTCAGCCATGGTTTGGTCGCTCCTGTAAAATAGCATCATGCTATAAGCAGGAGTGCTACCAGGCCTGGGCTGACGCATCAGCGTCCAGGGATGTAAACACCAGCGCTCTAAGAACTATAATTCCGCCTCTAGGTCCTTCAAAAGAGTCATTGCCAAGGCAAAGTCAGAGCACATAGGCAGAATTGGCGAGAAACTAGTTCGTCTTCCTTCTGGAACCCGTACATTCTGGTCTCTCGCCAAGGCTGTCCAGGGGAATTTCTGTCAGCCATCTCTTCCATCTCTGCACAGGGAGGACGACTCACTGGCCTACACCGCAAAGGAGAAAGCCGATCTTCTAGGCTCTTTCTTTGCGTCTAACTCGACTCTCGATGACGGGGGGAGTACGCCGCCGACCATATCGCGTTGTGAGTGCTCCATGCCGGAAGTGCAGTTCACTCAGCGCTCGGTTCGCAAAGTACTCCTCTTCCTGGACATCCACAAGTCGAGTGGGCCTGACGGAATCCCCCCCCAATTGTGCTGAGGACGTGTGCTCCAGAGTTCGCACCGGTTTTAACGCGTTTTTTCCGGTACTCCTACTCCCTAGGCGTAGTCCCAAAATCATGGAAGACGGCTTTCGTCCACCCGATCCCTAAAAAAGGCGACCGCTCAGACCCGTCCAACTACCGGCCTATCGCCATCACCTCCTTGTTCTCCAAAACAATGGAGTCCATTGTAAACTGCCAGCTCATGAGGTACCTTGAGGATCACCAGCTGATTAGTGACCGCCAATACGGTTTTCGCCGTGGTAGGTCAGCTGGTGATCTTCTGGTCTACCTAACTCACAGATGGGCGGAGGCAGTAGAGTCCAAGGGGGAGGCATTGGCCGTTAGTTTGGACATTGCGAAGGCCTTCGATCGGGTTTGGCACAAAGCGCTTCTTTCGAAGCTCCCTTCCTATGGGCTTCCCGAGAAATTGTGCGATTGGATCACCAGTTTTCTTGCAGATCGGAGCATCGAGGTTGTTGTAGACGGTGCTAGCTCCGATTACAAGCCTATTAATGCTGGTGTTCCACAGGGCTGCGTGCTATCGCCAACGCTGTTTCTTCTGCATATCAATGATATGTTGCAGACCTGTAACATTCATTGCTATGCAGATGACAGCACTGGTGATGCTCTTTACACCGGCCGAGCCAATATTTCTCGGGAAAACGTCTCCGAGTGCCGGGACAAACTTGTGTCTGAAGTCGAGTCTCTGCTGGCCAGAGTCTCGGATTGGGGGCGACTAAATCTAGTCCAGTTTAACCCCCAGAAGACACAAGTTTGCGCGTTAACCGCTAAAAAGAACCCCTTTGTCGTATCCCCTCAGTTTCAAGGCACTCCCCTTGTTGCCTCAGCCAGTATCGGAATCCTCGGCGTCGACATATCGAGTGACGTGCAGTTTCGTGGTCACTTGGAAGGGAAGGCCAAATTGGCCTCTAAAAAGCTTGGCGTGCTCAGCAGAGCGGGACAGTATTTCATGCCGGCACACCGCCTGCAACTTTACAAGGCGCAGGTTCGGCCGCACATGGAATACTGTTCCCATCTCTGGGCTGGGGCTCCCCAGTACCAGCTCCTTCCACTTGACCACATCCAGCGCAGAGCGGCTCGAATCGTCGACGACCGAGTGCTTTCCGATCGGCTCGATTCTCTGGCACTGCGAAGAGATGTTGCATCCCTTTGCATTTTCTTTCGCATATACCATGGAGAGTGCTCTGAGGAATTGTTCGGATTAATCCCAGCCGCCAAATTTCGTGAACGCACTACGCGGCAAACGTCCCGATACCATCCACACCATCTGGATGCTTGGCGGTCCACCACTGTACGTTTCAAAAGGAGTTTTCTTCCGCGTACAACCTCTCTGTGGAATAATTTACCACCAGCGATTTTTCCGGACCGATACGACCTGGGGACCTTCAAGAAAAGAGCTTACTCCTTTCTAAAAGGCCGGCAACGCGTCTGCAATTCCCCTGGTGTTGCAGTTGATCATGGGCGGCGGTAGTCACTTAACATCAGGTGAGCCACATGCTCGTTTGCCCCCCTCTTCTATAAAAAAAAAAAAAAAAAAGTATAAATTGTTCTAAATATGTTATGATTCACATATTTCATTCGTTGGTTATATAACTTGGATATTTGTTTTTGTCAAGGACTAAAGTCAAGAATATCGAACGAAGAGTGAACGCGGGACACAAAGTGAGGCTTTTCATTTTATTGGGAAAAGTTGGAATGTATCAAAAAGCCATATAATATGATAGTGGACAATGCTGTGTTATTCTCTAAGTTAATGCATTATAGTGTAGTATATACGAGGGTCACACTGAAAGTTCTTAGAAAATCAAAAACACAACAAATTAGCAAGTTATTAGTTTTATAATATTTTTTCAAAATAGTGTCCATTTATATTAAAAATTCGCTGCATTCGATGGAACCACTGAGAAAACACTTCGCCCACTCGTCCTTAGGGGTCTGTTCGACAGCATTCTGAAACGCAGCCACTGCTTCCACGGCGTTCATTAAACGTTTTCCTCGAAATTTTTCTTTTCTTTTCGGAAATAAGCAAAAATCGCAAACTGCAAGGACGAAGCTATAGGGCGAGTGACCTAGTGATTCCACGTCTGACGTCGCCAAGTAGTCGATTTTATGCTTGGTGGTGTGCGACGAGGCTCTGTCGTGGTGAAGGAGGATCCTACTGCGAGGTCGTTTCTTCTAAAGTTCTACCCATACAAGTAGCAAACAATTGTTAGTGTACCACTCTGCAGTAACTGTTTTTCGATCCTCTAAAACAATCGTTGCGTTTTTTTCCCACGCTTCGACCTCTCTTCACTTTATTTGGCAACTCCTCGGAAGGAAACACCCACACAGTAGACTGCCTCTTAGTTTCAGGATAGGATAGTACATATATATATATATATATATATATATATATATATATATATATATATATATATATATATATATATATATATATAATCGAGCTTACGTCACCCGTAAGTATGTCGAACACAGCATTTGAGTCACCTCCGTTAATTCTTTGAACCATTTCACGACACTAATCAACGCGACGGAGTTTTTGGGCCTCTGTTAGTTATGAGATATCCACCGGGCACAAAGCTTCCTGACCGCTAAATGTTCATCGAGGATTTTGTGCATTTGACTCATGCCGATGCCTAAGCTCATCCGAATCTGCTGACAAGTCACTCTTTTGTCAGTCTCTATCATATGCCGCACAACACTGATGTTATCTTCAGTCGTCGCCGTAGGAAGCCGTCCCTCCCGCAGATTATCGATGAGATTAGTGCGACCACGTTTAAACTCATTAAACCAGTTTTATATAGTGGCACGAGATGGAGTTTCATCGTGAAAGGCCAATCGAAGTCTATCATAACTTTCTTGTTGACTTAAATGACATCAAAAGTCATAAAAAATCAATGTATAAATATATTCCCGCGTTAAATTCATACTGACCTGACACAGACAATTTTCAATTTGCCACCAAATCTTAAACACATGACAAATTAAGGCTCATTGCCAAATCTAAAAACCAGGTTTACAAAAAGTTATACACGAAACCTTTTGTTTATTGCCACAAAAATATTTTTATAGTATAGATTGTCACAATTTATTTGTATTGTTTATAATTTTTCTTTTTAAATCAAATACAATAGCTGTTTTAAGCCTATTTTGTTTGTTTCCTCAAGACTGGCTCAACAGTATAAGATCAAATTTATATTCAAATATTTGATAAGTCAAATAGGAAAACGTATTGTTTTTATTGTATTTTTGTTAAATATATTTCTTAAAGTATAGTAAATCATGATTCGGTCCATTTCCGCCCCCCGAAACTCCCCCGCTATGGCCCGTTACGGATATTCGGATTACGGATATGTGTGCGCGCGTTATTTTCTGAAAAAAAAAACATTAAAAAGTTCGCAATGTTTCATATTTATAAAAACAGTTTTGTTGTAAATAAAACGTACATTAGTAATAGTTGATAAAAATGGGAATTCCATTGATTTACGTAAATAAAATTGTTTGTAGTTTAAGTTTTGTTTATAATTGTATCATAAAATAGACTAAGCTTGACAATGCCGAAATATAAAAGCAAGTCAAAAGTGAAGCGTGGCCAAGCTCTGCAAAATTATTGGTAAATAAGTTATCCTTGATTTATTTTCTTTTGCGTGAATACTATACAGGCTATAACGAACGTTCCATAAACTGTGGTGTCCCTTCTATTGTATAGGCGGAGAATTCTTGAGCCGCTTAAAAATTATAACGTAAAACGAACGTGACCACCATTTGAGGCTGGCAGGGTCTAATTTACTACAGTCCTGGACTCCGAAGTTGGATACAGGATCTCAGTGACGGAACCACGTAGAACCATCGTGTCTGCACTCATTTGAAAGGGCTCGTAGTACCTAGCTGTTTGTGATGATTTCACTTACCTGATGCTGCACTCCGAAGTAGTCGTTAGGTGGGTGTAGGATCTCAGTGACGAAACCATGAAGAACCATCGTATTTGTACTCATTTGAAAAAGCTGGCAGTCACCTAGATGTTTGTGATGATTTCACTTACCTTATGATGCACTACGATCCAAAGTAGTCCGAGGGTTGGTACGGGATCTCAGTGACGGCACTACGTAGAACCATCGAGTTCGTACTCATTTAAAGGGCTCGCACTTAGCTGTCTGTGATGATTTTACTTACCCTTTCTGAAAATGCTTTTATTGTACTCTTTTGTTGAGAGTGACTGTTGCGATAATATTTCTAATGAAACTTTATGTTTTTAGGCAATTGACAAAATCAGCGGAAATCCCATTCAGAAAATCTGAGCAAAGATCCATCAACTGAATCAAATGCATTACATTCATTTACGACTATTACAGAAATTCACGATCCGTTCGGTATGACAGTTGATGAGGAGACTTCGTCGTCGGATATTGCGGTAGCTACTTTTTTAAATTAGGAGTGCCAGTCTATTTTTAATGTTGTTAAATTGAACTTTGATTACGGGTTCCCATTGCGCATTGATAACCATTCGTTTTTGGTAAACAAAAACGTATTTAGGAAACCGACAAGTCCGAGAACCCATAAAATTAGTGACAACCTATCCCTATACGAGTAGGGTCAGTAAAAAATAAGTAAATTAGTAATAAGTAAATTAGTAATAAGTAATTATTTTGTTCACAGCCTCAACAAAATTATATTTTACCGGAATCAACTATTGAAAAAACCTACCAAACACAGAAAAAACAAAAATATCGTGCAAACGAATCGTTGATATAAAATATTTTTTTTTCAAAATTGCAAAAAATCAGCAATCAGAGTCCCTATAATTGTGGAGTACAAAGTTTAAAAATAGTTGGAGAGAAACGAGTTGGATTGTCAACCAAGTTTACTCTAGAGTGTTTAATGTGTAAACGAAAGTTTTTATTAAATAATGTCCCAGGTGATCTGGAAATAAATACAAAATCAGTCACTGGTGCGTCGATGTGTGAAGAAAATTATATTCCGGTGATCTGGACATAAATATGGCTGCAGTTGCTGGTGCAGTTTCTATTGGTATAGGCTACTCACAATTAGAGAAATTATTATCAGTGATCGATTTTCCTATGATGACTGAGCCTCTGTACCAAAAACAGCACGAGTTTGAAATAATACTAGTTTTTACGGAATTTATCGCGTATATTTAACTTTTTAAATACCCGACGTTTCGAACGCTTTACAGCACTCATGGTCACGGGCAGGACTGAGATGTTCAACGTCCATATGTCATAGTTAACCGCGGTTACCATAGATTAAAATTTAACATTTGTTCCGATCTATGCAGTATGAACTTATGGTATCTTGAAGTCTTGCAGTTGTATGCTTGGGTTGGGATTTAATTTTATTTATTATAGCGTGTACCTGCTGTACTGCCATATGTTAGAGGAGTCACTGACAAGATTGGCTACATCTTGAAGCGCGCTTCCATCAAAACATACTTCAAGCCGCTGAAGAAGATTGGTCAGTTTTTACCATCGGTCAAGTGTAATGTCCCTCTGCAAGATGCAGGAGTGTACAAGCTTGATTGTGAATGTGGTCTCTCCTACATAGGACAAACTAAAAGATCAATAAAAACTCGCGTTAAAGAACATATAGCTGATGTGAAGAATCGACGCTCCGGGAAGTCTGCAGTCTGTGAACACGTACAGGATCGCCTCCGTCACTACATCAGATTTGATAGACCGCAGATCCTCGCTAAAGAACACCGATTCCTTCCAAGGATGATTCGCGAGGCTATTGAAATCAAAAAACATCCTAATTTCAATAGAGAAGATGGCTGGATACTACCATCTGCTTGGGATCCTATAATAAATAAAATTAAATCCCAACCCAAGCATACAACTGCAAGACTTCAAGATACCATAAGTTCATACTGCATAGATCGGAACAAAAGTTAAATTTTAATCTATGGTAACCGAAGTTAACTATGACATATGGACGTTGAACATCTCAGTCCTGCCCGTGACCATGAGTGCTGTAAAGCGTTCGAAACGTCGGGTATTTAAAAAAGTTAAATATACGCGATAAATTCCGTAAAAACTAGTATTATTTCAATGTGTGGTGTTCGCGTAAATATAAGAAATCATTAAGCACGAGTTTGTTTCTAACGCCTGGAGAAAGTACTTGGTTATTCCATGTAAAAAACCACAGAAAAAGAAAAAAGGATTGCATTAGAAAACCACTGATGGCATTCCTATTATAGATGTTAATGTTGATGGATGCTGAAGTAAGAGGTCTTATAAAAAGAATTACGCAGCACTTTCAGGAGCTTCTACCATAATTGAAAGAGACATGAAAAAATTTTGTTTCTCGCTATTAAAAATAAGTACTGCAGCATATGTGCGCAAAATTATAACAAAAATAAAACTCCGAGAGCTCATCAGTCAAAAATTTCTCGGGTACATCTACTGCCATGGAATCTACCCTGATAGTAGAAGTTTTAAATCATCTGTTGAAATGTACGCTCTGATTTATGGACGTCTAATATCTGACGGAGATTCTAGCACGTACTCTAAAATATTAGAAACAAGACCTTACCCTCAATTTACAGTTAAAAAAGTTAAGTGCAGAAATCACCTTATAAGAAACTTGTGCAACAAACTGGAAAACCACATCACAGACAAATCACAGATACAAAATATCCCATACATCTTAGAAAATTAATAACAAAAAACGCATAATGAACATTAGGTCCACAATTAGAAAATGCATCACAAATATCATGATTCTACAGAGACTTTAGATTTTTGCACTCACAAACTTCATAAGGATATTCAAAATGTACATTTACATGCTTTCGGAAACCATACCAACTGTAAAAACCATTTACGTAATCGTCGTCAAAATGAAACTGAATCAGTACCGGCGGATTTTTTCACAAGTTCTTTATGGCAGGGAATGTGTTTTATTATAAATAGTATTGCTGGCCATTGAAGGAGTCTTGTTCATGATGTTGATAGTAACATCATAGAATATATAACAGCGTTGTGGCCAAGTTGGGGGTAAAAGAATCAATTACTCTCTGCGACGCGGCTATCAAACTAGGTGTTCAACTGCTGCGATTCTTACTAAAAGAAAACCTTCTCTAATACCTACTACTGCACTAAACAATTGATAGCAAAAGCCCTAAAGGAATGAGCACTTTCGATAAGTATAGGAAACTCAGAGGCTTGAAGAAACGCGCCAATTATAAAAAGCCACAGAAGACGTGTGACACTATAACTCAAAATAAAGATTAATGTGAACAAAACTCTAAGCCGGATGTGAGTGATGATGTGCTTAATTTAATGAAGTAAACTTTTCTATCCGCTTTAAAAAAAGTGAAAAAGAAAGAACACGCCAATCCGAGCGGCAGACCATTTTGCAAAGCGAGTCTAGCAAATGGCTTGAACTTAGATGTTCTTTGTTGACAGCTTCGAACTTTGACAAAGTGATCAAAATAAGGCCAGATACTAGTTGCGCCAATATAGTAAAGCAATTGCTATACAAAATTAATATAATAGTAGTATGCTGGTCCTTTGCAACACGGAAGAGAATATGAAAAAAGAGCTACAATTATTATCTACGCAAGAAGCAAAGGAGTGAATATAAGACCTTGCGGGATTTATATAGATCTTTATAAAAATTCCGTATTTAAGGGCCACACCAAATGGGATTATAGACGAAGAAATAATAGTAGAGGTTAAGTGTCCAATAACGGCATTTAAGACAGGACTAGAGAAAGCTATTACAAAAAAAAAGTAAATTTTTGGATTAGAGACAACTCAGGTAATTTAGAGATAAATAAGAATCGCAACTGGTTCTACCAGGTATAAGAGCAGTTGCACGTGACTCGAAAAGCAAAAGTTGTATTCGCTGTATGGTTCGGTGAGTCGCGACCACTGAAAACGGAAGTCATATATTGGGATGATGGTTGTTTTGAAAATAAAATTAAGTCAAAATTATGCAATTTTTATTTAAATTGTATATTGCCTGATATTTTAGACACAATACATACCAGAAATATGGAAATACATAATATAATCTATATAATTGAAGCAATAAAAAAAATAAAGGAAAAAACTTGAGATCTCTAAGAGGAAAATACAACGCATAATTCCAATTAGTAAGCAAGAAGAAAATACAACGCTTTCCTTATATCAAGAATCGACACGGTCATCAACACCGGTAACTTCAGAAGTGGAACAACCAACCTTTTCACGATAATTAAATTATAATGAAATTTAACGTGCACAAAATATTCAACGGTTGATTTAATCTTAATAAATACATACACTATAATATTGGCAAAGTTCATGTGGGATTCAGAATTTCGAACTCTGACCTGCATGCCAAGTGTGGCAACTACGGTAAAAATACCCCTATTACACCGATATGGCTTCGAGGCCTTCAAAAAAGAGTTTACTATTTTTAAAAGGCTTGCAATGCATCTTCATTCCCCTGGTATTGTAGTTGTTCATAGGCGGCGATCGACACCCAGCATAAGGTGAAACGCATGCTCGTTTGCCCCCTCTTCTATAAATAAAGCATTAAAATATGTACGTGGTAGAGCCACGCTGCAGTTATATTAGTAGTATAGTTGTAGCACGAATGGGTCGGCTCGACCGGGGAAGGACCACGCTCTCACAGAATACCAGCGTGAAATAGTAGCTTAATGCTGCTGTATTTCGTATGGTGAGTGTAGAGAACCGGAGACCCTTTTTACTGGAAACGAGGCATTCCATCTTAGTCCTCACGGGTGACAACGCATCTGCATTTTGATTCGTAATCGAGGATAGATGTAGATGTCTATGGGCCACAGCAACCACTTACCATCAGGTGGACTGTGTGCTCGTTTGTCACCCTATCCTATAAAAAAATTAAAAATAAGGCAATCTGTGGAAGAGGAAGTACTATGTTAAGCAGTTGTATTTAGATAGGCTTTAATGATGATGATGATAATTTTATAATAGAATAATCGTTTAAATATCTAATATGTATGAAAATTATATCTGTAGAATTCTACTTTCACTTCAATACCATTCAATACCGTATTAAAGATAAGATTTTTTTAATATGTTATAAAATATGGGTGACAAACGAGCACACAGTCCACGTGATGGTGAGTGGAGGCTGTGGCCCTCTGGTGGATGGACTTTTACATTTATCCTCCACTAAGAATCAAAACGCAGGTGTGTTTTCACCCATGAGGACTAAGACGCAATGCCTCGGAACCAGTAAAAAAGGGTCTCCGGATCTCTACACTCACCATACGAAACATTCTGTGAGAGCGTGGTCCTTCACCGGTCGAGACGTCGGGAATTATAGAGCGTTGGATTTTAATCACATCGCATCGTGTCGCATTGAATAGTTCTCCCTTTCAAGTGACAAGCGAACATACAGTCTACCTTATGTTAAATAATTTCAAATTAAAAAGATTACAGATGCGTTGTCACCTAAGAGGATCAATATGAATACCTCCATATATATTTTGGACTGCAACACAACAGTGAAAGCACTAGTGTTTGTCGACAGAAAGAGATAAGCGGGTGGTACTTACCCAGACGGACTCCCTTATAGAAATGGAGTTCTGTCGTGATAAATTTAAATGTTTGTGTTAGGAGTAGTTCACGACGGTAGTCGGATGGCAAATTAAAACCCACGACCTTGGAGTTTACGGTCCGGTCCAACCTGCCACTGGGAACACTGCCTGTCGTTTCAAATAAGGTAAATTAGTTCTACCGAAACATTTTTAACCATTT